TTCCTTGGGACAGTTAATCGTGCTGTGCCCTTTCAATATTCAGTATTAATCTCTTTGTGGCTCCATCAGAAACTGTATCGCTTATGGTAATGAGGCAAAGATTGTAAACAAAGATTCTCCTATTGACTAGGTTATATTGAGGTTAATTTCTTGTGATACTACCGCAAATTGACGTAGCTTTTAGGTATCCTATTTCTTTCGGAACAAGTCAGGATAAAGGGATTTATTAACACTGCCGGCGTTGCGTGTTACGAGGTGAAACTTAAGCTTAGCTACGTGCAACAATTGATCGATATTGCGTGCAGTGCGGGGAATCTGTGTTACGATTTCTCTTACATGGTGGCCGGAATAGCGCATTTCCTTATTCTTGAAATCACTAAGTGTTGCTAGCTACTCCCCCTCAAAAGAACGTTTTTAACAATTAACAACAAAGAGCAAAATGCTCGTCCCCTCAATACTGGCCTTCAGCTTAAAAGAATGGAATAAAAACAACAACAAAGTGGAATTTGGACCGAAACTGACACAAATCTTTGTATTGATCCCGTGACGGTGTGTTTTTAGTGCGTTTCAGAGTAATATTATCACATTACGAACTCGATACTAAAAGAAGCCTTCTGGTCCACGTTCACACATTTTTTTTATTCTACTTTTTTTCGGGTCACAGTCGGTCACTTCCCGTTGATCGAGGATTTAACATTAATTTTCTTACCCATTTTGAATTTAATGATGTCAGGAAGATTACAAACTTAGGGCAAAAAGAATATTAGATTTCACAGATTAGTACAGTTAATAAAAAAAATTAAAACCAGGGAATATTTTAGAAGACTGAAGCCGCTTAATTAACTTTTAGACTTTTATATACAACAGGCAAAAGTCAAACGCGGTAAACCGGACAAAACAAACTCATCATTTGACGTTTGACCATGGCCGTAAAGGAACTACGCTTCACATTTTGCGGAGGATTGAAAAGTTTAGCCTAAATTTTTCAGGTTTGTCGTTTGTAATCTCTGTTGATCTTCTCCATCCATCCTTGTTCCTTTATGGTTTATAACTTTATTATTATCTCTTTAGTGTTTTTCTGTCTTATTAGTTTAAAGATTATTTTTCGCTTTTTTCGATTCAAAGGTAATGTGACCAAAATAACTCAAATTAACCCAAAATAACTCAAAATAACTCAAAATAACGCGACTGAGCTCCTTTTAATCATGACTGATAGTTCCAGCCGGAAGTTTGAATAACCTACCTGATCGCGTGAAATATCTCACTTAATTAATTCCCTCAAAATATCCAATTTAAAATTCAGATTATGATAAATGGCCTCAATTTGATAGCACAAAGGTCACACATCTACTCCCCTCCCTCCCCCTCTAAAATCTGTGGTAACCATTAATGGTCTTGATCTGCCATGAAGGAAGGCAGGATGCACAAAGGTTTGCATATCTACTCTTTTCTCTACACCCATTAAAATCTGGAGTAGCCTTTCATGGTTTTGAGCTGCCATAAAGGAAGGTGGAAAGCATAAAAGTTTAAAAAGAGAAAATGAGCTCTGTACAGGCCCGCAAATGATCCCAATACCGCAAATGATCCCCAAATTGCACCGCAAATGATCCCAGGACCGGAAATGATGCCCAGATTGTACCGTAAATGATCCCGGACCGGAAATGGTCGCCCCGACATAAAATTTGAAAATGTGAGGACTCAGGAATTTGGATAGTGGATTTAAGATTTTTGCAGTGTGTTTCCTAAACGAAAAATTTATGCAGATCATTTGTGGTACAACTTGAGGATCATTTGCGGTTCGGGGATCATTGCAGGCCGGGATCATTTGCGGGCCTGTACAGGTCCGGTTTTTTGGACTTACATGTCTACTCCCTCCCCTAGCCCCCCTTAAAATCTGGAGTAGCCATCCATGGTTTTGAGCTGTCATAAAGGAAGGCCGGCAAGAGACCATGATAGAGACTCGATGTGATCAGCTGTGTTCGAAAGTGTCATTACTTAAAAGACCAATTATATTAATAAGCAGAGGTGGAAACTATAGATTTTTAAATGCACATGACACTCAGAAGACACACGGCTCCACAGGCATCATGTGTTAGAGTAATGGAAACCAGTGGTAGGATGTTGTTCTTAAACATTGACAAAGGGGAAATAGTATTTTTCATTGTTTCGTTGCCCTTTATCTTTTTTCGAGAAAATGGAGATTTAAACTTCTCGCGGTCAAATAAAATTAGCTCTGCATACACGTCCGTAGCTGCCGAATCCTTGCCGCAGTTTGTAAGATGCAACCCTTACGTTGCATAGATTTTGCCTGTCAAAATAAAGAGGCCAAGAGGAAAAAGGACCTCAACCTACCTCTCTTTTGACACAAGAGTTACCACCTGACGAAATTTGTGCAACCGCTGTTATTTCTAGTGAGGGCCATGGTTATGATAATCTAAACTAACGTGCCTCATAATTTGCTTCTAAGCACCCCGAGAGCGATTAAAGTAAACTTGCTAATGAGTGCCATTCTGTTTTAGTAATCTGCAATTTGCCGGAGGTACAACTTGGCCTTCATGTCTAGTAGATACTGAAATGACAAGTTAGCAATGGAATAGAGAACAGGGTTTCCGTCAGTGGCAGCCAGCTGTACTTCGACAGTAGCGCCTCTCTCTTTGAATATGCAAAGGTTAACTTGGCTCGTCTAAACATTGTTTTTTTTTTTTTCAACATACGAGATTAATGGTTAGGGGTTGTTCAAAACATGTGGTTGAAGCTTATTTAAAGGATCGCGACATTGCTGAAGCAGATTATTTTTGTCATAAGTTCTCAATATCAATTATTTGGATTCCGAGATTCCGGTTACCGGTTTCTGGATTCCATGTTTCAGGGATGCCCAGCGGGCAACAAGTTAAGATCTTATCGCGGTTCAAGCAATCTCAGCAGCTTACAGCCCATTATAGCCTTGTTTGATGCTGTTTGATGCCAAATTATGTCACGTAGCTTCAAGTCAGTAAGCGGGTGGACGCTCATGGAGATCTAAAACCAGTTTCTATCGACGACAAGAAGCTAAATGCTACCGGACTCCAGAATTCAAGCATTCGAGCAGTTGCAAAAATTTGGCGAGCACGAGCGAGCGAGCACTCAGCTAATTTTTGCGAGCAATTCGAGCAAAGGCCAAATTAATTGAATTGGACCAGGGCCAAGCACATGGCGATTAAAATAAGACTTTAAGGTAATTCCTTTGAAATAAAAGTGACAATAGATTTGTGTTCAAACTTTGTCCACTGAATATTTGTCATGTGATAACTTCAATTTTGAAATAAAAAAGNGGTTCAAGCAATCTCAGCAGCTTACAGCCCATTATAGCCTTGTTTGATGCTGTTTGATGCCAAATTATGTCACGTAGCTTCAAGTCAGTCAGCGGGTGGACGCTCATGGAGATCTAAAACCAGTTTCTATCGACGACAAGAGGCTAAATGCTACCGGACTCCAGAATTCAAGCATTCGAGCAGTTGCAAAAATTTTGCGAGCACTCAGCTAATTTTTGCGAGCAATTCGAGCAAAGGCCAAATTAATTGAATGGGACCATTCGATGATCTGCGCCTGCAGTTTTGAAATATCGCCAAAGAGTCTGGAAACGAATGAAAAAAAGATGGCGGCCGACGAAAGGTGATTAATGTTAGCTGCGAACATTTGGCAAAGATGCAGGTTTCACAGCCGAACAATGTCAAAATTTATAACTTATCAGCTGGAAAATCATTGCCCGAGGTATGAACCAAAGAGTATTGCTATATCTTTTGCATCTTCGGGAAGAATAGGTTCAGAACTCTGCTCGTGAGACACAACACGTGTGTTTATACAGCCATGGGTGAAATAATGATCTAAAGGAAAATTTGAAACTAATTTTGTTTTGTTTCATAGTGGCTTTCAGAGCGAAAGAGACGAACTTTGCAAAAGAATGATATCAGTGAGTATTGTACTTGTAATGATAGTGGTTTGAATCAGTACGTATTTGCTGTTCTTTTGCTTAATTCAGCTGTACTTAATATTATTATGCATGAGACAGCTGAATTAAGCGAAAAACAGCATATACCTTGAATTATGTAAGCCTGTTTTCAATGGTACACATACTGAAGCTTGTTGAAGCTTTAATATTTACCATTCTTTCAATTTATTCCTTCAATGCCCTTTAATTCCTAGACGTCAGACGAAGAATTGAGCTTCTTCAAGATTTTGAGATGCCAATTGCCTCGACCAATGTATGCGTTTCTGCAGACAAACAGTACATTATGGCTTCAGGTGAGGACTGTTTTTGCGGTAGTATTTTTACGCACGGCTGCCACAAGTCAGGTTCCTCCATCGTTGTCAACTGTGTACGAAATCAGTTGGGAAATGAAGTCAGTGTAAATTGTTATAAAACTAAAAATTTGTTGCTACCTGAACTTAAAAAATAACTGTG